CCCCCCGCCCTCCCCCCTCCCCGGGGCGGTACCGGCCACACACGCTGGCAGCTCACGGCCCCTTCTCGGGCCCAGAGCCTTAGCTCAGACAGGCGCATCTGGGGGGCTCTGATTCCCGTACAATTGCTGCACTCACAGCATGGCCCTATCGCCCAGCCTGAGGGGCAGCCAATCAGCTCCTGTCATTGGCCCCGTACGGACGTGCTGTGTGAGGCGAGGAGTCACTGCGATGCTCAGTTACACAGACTCAGAGGGCACTAGTGGGATGCCAGCTGTAGGGTTCCAGGACTATCAGAGAGATGCGCAGCATTAGCTAGATCAGTAAATCGCAGCAGAAATGCAAGGCCTGCAGGCTGAGGCCTGTGAGATTTCAGCTTTGCCATGGGGATAGGAAAGTTTGACGTGAACAAGTGACTGCAGAAGGACCCTGTGCCCGTAAGAGCCCAAGATGCCTGGAGAGACGGGCCCACAGGTGATGTTACGGAAAATCGACCACAATGTTCTGTGAGATAATGAGATTGTACCTCACTGTAACATGGATCACAGCACGTCCTGACCGCAGGGTGTGCACTGTGCACAGGTGCCACTGGAAATGAGAGGCACTAGAGAGATCCTGTGGGAAACAGGGCACCCTGTAGTTCTGGGGGATGGAAATACATATGAGGACAAAGAGGGTTGACCCCTTCATGCACATGTGGAGTATGTTAGATGTGGTCAAAATAACAATTGAAAAGCAGGTTCACAGAGTGAGCAGAACTTGGAGCATCCCAGGGAAAATCCCCAGCAAGAACCATCCCTCTCCTGACCTTCAGTGGGGGAGGAATCCATCACTCTAGGAACATCTGTAAGGCTGAGAGTGCGACTACACTGGTCACTTGGGCATGGGAATTCGCAGGGCTTCTATACGCTTGAGTAACTGTAATCACGCTTGTCTCTAATAAAACGTATCATACAGACCAGACGTGGTACTTGTGAATGTCTGTGTCACTGTCCATGGTCTTCATGGGCTCCTAGAGACTCTGCATCGAAAGCCACAAGCAGAGGTGACTGTTGCTTCATGAATCTTAGAAACACAGAATCAAAGGGCTGGAGGAGACCTCAGGAGTCACTGAGTCCAACCTGCTGCGCTTGTCTCTAATAAAACGTATCATACAGACCAGACGTGGTACTTGTGAATGTCTGTGTCACTGTCCATGGTCTTCATGGGCTCCTAGAGACTCTGCATCGAAAGCCACAAGCAGAGGTGACTGTTGCTTCATGAATCTTAGAAACACAGAATCAAAGGGCTGGAGGAGACCTCAGGAGTCACTGAGTCCAACCTGCTGCCCAAAGCAAGACCAAACCCAACTAAATTGTCCCAACCAGGGCTTTGTCAAACCATGATTTTAATATCCCTAGAGATGGAGATTTCATCCTCTCCCTATGGAACCCATCCCCACCCTCCGAGGCCAATCTAGATCTCCCCCTTCGCAGTATGAGCCCATTGCTCCTCGTTCTGTCATCTGTCACTACTGAGAACAGCCTCTCTCCAGCCTCCCTCCCCCTTCGCAGTATGAGACCACTGCTCCTCGTTCTGTCATCTGTCACTACTGAGAACAGCCTCTCTCCAGCCTCTTTGGAACCTCCCTTCAGGCAGTTGCAGGCTGCTCTCAAATCCCCCCTCACTCTTCGCTTCTGCAGACTAAACAAGCCCAAATCCCTCAGCCTCCCCTCGTAGGTCATGTGCTCCAGCCCCCTCAGCATTTCCATTGCCCTTCACTGGAACCTCTCTAATGCATCCACATCCATTCTGTAATTGTGTGTGGGAGTGGTGGGGGCAGGGAGGAACGGAGGCGGGGAATTGAGAACATCCTTTGTAGGAAAAGAATGAGTGGAAAAAGGTAATATTAGGAACACTAAGCGTTACGGTGGCTTTGAATAATCGGACTGTCACTTTGATAAGGATACATGAAAACTCCACGAGCACAATGGAAACATTACACGTTGTGTACAAATTGACACACCTAATGTGATGTTATAGGCATTATAGATGTTAAACTATGAAGGAATGTGCATTTTCCTTTGACACATGCATTGTGTATTATGGAAAGGGTAGGGACAATGGAAACAAAACATGATACATAATTAAAATCCTATTAGGGCTCCAAAAAAGGGCCAGGATAGGCTGTGGTTTGTTTTTTTTTCAGATGTCTGGGTGTTGGGGAAGCGGGAGCTGAAAGTGAAAAGCAACCAGAACTCTGGAACAGTGTTCCCTCTAACATCTTCTATCATAGGAGGGTTGACTTTTTGTACGTGCAATACTGAGGTAGTGTGTGGATGTGCATCACCAGTACAAACACAAAACACATAGTTGTAAGCAGGGTCTGAATCAATGCTTCCATTGCAGACAGCTGTACAGAAAGAAATCCTGGGTGTGGTTATGCAAATGCAGTTGCTCCTGCTTCGCTGGTGTTTTGCCTCTTCTAAGCACTTTAGCTGTTGTGGGGTCACAAATTGTGTTAACTCTAAATGGAGGAATTGCGGGAGATGACCAGCAATGCTTGCAGCTATTGTAGGAATGTAGAAAAGTCAAACTGTGTTTAACTCAGTTCAAAGGAGAGACCTTGTCAGTGGAAATACACTTGGACAGACAGAGGCTCCACTGCCAGAGCCCTATAGATTAAGCTGAGGAGGGAGGTAAGTAGGCAAGGCTTCATGCTCAGAAAAGAAAACAACAGAACACCACTTGTCATCCATCACCTACAGATCCCAACTTAAACCCCTCCAGCACATTAGCAACAATCTACAACTTAGTCTCGAAAATGACCCCTCACTCTTACAGGGCTTGGGAGACAGGCCAGTCCTCACCTACGGACAACCCCTGAACCTCAAACAAACACTTTCCAGTAATCACAAAGCACACCTCCATCATACTCACCCAGGAACCCACCCCTGTAATCAGCCCTGGTACCAACTCTGCCCACATATCTACACCAGTGATTTCATCACTGGACCCAACCACATCAGAGGCTCATATAATTGTGCACCCACCAATATGATCTGTACCATCAAATGCCGGCAATGACCCTCTGCCATGTATATTCGCCAAATTGGACAGTCTCTATGAGTAAGAATTAATTGACACAAATCAGATCTCCGAAAAGGCAACACAGAGAAAGCTGTTGGGGAACATTTTAATTTGCCTGGGCACTCACTAATGAATCACAAAGTCACCCTATTGTTTCAGGCCAATTTCACAAGCCAACTCCACAGGGAGGCCTCAGAGCTCAACTTCATTTATAAGTTTGATTTTACAACAGAGGTATGAACAAAGACACTGGGTGGATGGCCCGCTGCATTCCACAGCCTAACAATATATGTCACCCCCTTTTTCCTCCCTGGGTCACTGTGGAGCAGGTCACACTCACAGGTATGCCTGTGCACCTGAGAGTTTTAACATAAAAGGAGATCCTGAGTACCTTAGTGGCGATGCTGTTTAGTTGAGGAAAGCCCTATCCACCCCCTTGCTGCAGTCCCTTGCTCATAAAGAACATACAATGGCAGTGCCTTCACCTGGGTGGCCCTGCACACACTTAATGGTGTGCCTTGGGAGCCTGCAGGAATAAAATTATTCCACCAATAATCGGGATCTAACTCCAGGACAATTATAAATAATATGCATTAAAATGAGAACACCTTTACTTAACTTAAAGAAACAGGGTTTAACAGATTAACAGTGAATAACATCAATTAACAAAGTACACAGAAGTAATAGGAACTGATCTAGCTGCATTTGCTCTGCCACCATTTATCCCACCCCAGAGTGTGCACTCCTCTGGGCTCAGAATCCCAGATGCTTGCATGGGTGCACTTGAAGATCTGCAGCTGTAGTGGAGGTTCTCTACAGATTGTGCGTGGGTGAGCCCACGCTGTGCAGCCAGTTGCAAACTCCCTCTGTCACTGGAGCAGGTTCCACCAAATGCCAGCAGGTCTGGTTCCCTGGGCTGGCCACTCTGCCTCTCTTTGGACCCAGAGTTCGTCTACATCTCTGAGGTCTGTCCCAGGGAGCACTTTCCCAAAGAGCCCAGTGTGACGTAGTGGGGGTACCTGGCTGGTTTCTATGCTGCTGGCTCTGGGGTAACCCCCACTGGCTGTCGTGGGGACCACGACCCAGCAAAACAGGATGAGTCACTATGCAAACCAGTGGCCAGACACCCCCCATGGAGAGGAACAAAGGAAGGTGGAATGCTGCCTTGGCTGGGGGGCAGGGCTGGAAGTTAGTGAGTTGGTTGCTGGCTGTCGGAGGGCATGGAGGAGAGCCTAGGGGAAGGGGCTGGAGTTTAGGGGCCCAGTCTCCCCCACCTCAAGGGGGCCTGAGGCATCCTAGCCCAGTTCCTGTAACCAGATTCCATCTGTGCTGCGCTGTGCTGGAGGAGCAATAAACCACCCTCAATTCCACTGGCTGGTGCAG